ACCACCACTTTAGTTTACTGAACAGCTATACGGTATGTGTACCCAAAATAGACCACTTTAGTTTACTGAACAGCTATATTGTATGTGTACCATAAATAGACCACCACTTTAGTTTACTGAACAGCTATACGGTATGTGTACCCAAAATAGACCACTTTAGTTTACTGAACAGCTATATTGTATGTGTACCATAAATAGACCACCACTTTAGTTTACTGAACAGCTATACGGGATGTGTACCATAAATAGACCACTTTAGTTTACTGAACAGCTATACTGCATGTGTACCATAAATAGACCACTTTAGTTTACTGAACAGTTATACTGTATCTGTACCATAAATAGACCACTTTAGTTTACTGAACAGTTATACTGTATCTGTACCATAAATAGACCACTTTAGTTTACTGAACAGCTATATTGTATGTGTACCATAAATAGACCACCACTTTAGTTTACTGAACAGCTATACGGTATGTGTACCCAAAATAGACAACTTTAGTTTACTGAACAGCTATACTGTATGTGTACCATAAGTAGACCACTTTAGTTTACTGAACAGCTATACTGCATGTGTACCATAAATAGACCACTTTAGTTTACTGAACAGCTACACTCTATGTGTACCATAAATAGACCACTTTAGTTTACTGAACAGCTATATTGTATGTGTACCATAAATAGACCACCACTTTAGTTTACTGAACAGCTATACGGTATGTGTACCCAAAATAGACCACTTTAGTTTACTGAACAGCTATACGGTATGTGTACCCAAAATAGACAACTTTAGTTTACTGAACAGCTATACTGTATGTGTACCATAAATAGACCACCACTTTAGTTTACTGAACAGCTATACGGTATGTGTACCCAAAATAGACAACTTTAGTTTACTGAACAGCTATACTGTATGTGTACCATAAATAGACCACTTTAGTTTACTTAACAGCTATACTGTATGTGTACCATAAATAGACCACTTTAGTTTACTGAACAGTCATAGAAGGTGAAACTAAAAAAACTCCAGCTGAACAGCTATACTGCATGTTACTGTGAAATTGGAGGTTAATTTACAGGACATGTACAAGATATTGAAGTTGTCATAAAACCTTGGTGAACCAATGCAACATATTGCAAAAATCGTGTTGAAAAGCCAACACAGCTTATTACGGAATTGTGTTGAAAGTCAGGCTGCAGCTGTCAGTTTTCGGCAGTCTCTTAGATTCTGTGTGACTCAGGGATAGGAATCTTGGTATAATATAATATACTACAGGGGCTGATCTTCTGATAAAGTTACACGTTAAAACTGGAAGAAGTGTTTTGTACCTTGTAAGAGCTTTTGAATTTAATCCCCAATTCCCGTTATTAGCCGCAGATTTAAAATGCCAAGTGGTCGGAGGTATTGTTTAGGTGTTGCGTCGTGGGAAGGGAGCGTTATGATGCAGACAATACAAGACAGCATGTGGTCCTAGTAATGATACTTAATACGTTGGTCTTTGTGATCCTGTACTTTATTACTGTGACGTAATGTTGTACTACTCAGTCCCACCTCAACAGGGGTAATTTGGTCAATTATATGGTACCCTGTAGTATTATAGTGTACATTGTTCGGTATATAGGTCTGAGTGCTATGTCCCACACGTTAATAGGGTACATTGTTAAGAAGTCGACTCATAGGAAAAACCTAAATTGAGGAAGTATGACCAATGATGCTAATTTTCAGTAATTGTACCCAAATCTTTGAATAGGTTCTGAAAATACAGGTAAATAGAATGGGTTTAGTGGTATTATGTAGACAGGAAGATTTACTTTTCGTGGAAGTTGAACTTAAAATGTTTTCAGTTCAGAACCTGAAACACACAACAGCTATAGATATAAAAAGTTACTCTCTACTCGATCACTTCTGTGTTGTCACCAGTACCCGGGGACCCCGACGATTATAAGTTTGTATATACGGTGTTGTTGATCGGACAACATTGTTGTCATTGGTTATTACATTCGGTAATTCCACGAACGATTATTTTCTTTAATGCTTATAGATCCTTTTATGACAATAACGTCTATGTTTAATTGTAAGATTATATTCATGAATAGTTTAATGTGGGTATTTAATTCAGTTACTCATATTCTATATTTAAGATATATCATGATCAAGGGTTCATTTAGTAAAACATATCAGGTCGCTTTTCCTTGTAAATACCTGTTATTCTTGCATACCTGTAAATAGGTGTTTAGGCTTTCCTTATAAAGATATGTAGCTGTCCTTAGTCTTTTAACTGTTGTTCAAATACCTGGATAAACCTGTAATTGGTTTCCAACTTCAAATTAAACCTGTCTTTATTCATTTGGTGTACCTATTGTAAGCCTATAGCTATACACTGCCTTTAGTCCCTAGATGTACTGTCCTTAAAAACCTCATGTTTATTTTACAACATGTATGAAATTATCATGAAACAAGTTATTTTCAACCTATATTAATCACTCTTGTTGGCCTGGATGTAAACGCACAGGGTTCTTAATGTGGGAGGTTAAAGAAAACCCATGTGGCTGGCAAGTGACCCCAAACCTTTTTACATCCCTTAGGGGAATCGAACCCCGGCCACCTTGGTGAAAGGCAAGTGTGTTATCCACTGCGCCACCCAACCATCCTCATGTTAGCTATAGCCTATAGCTGTAATTATTAATACCTGTTGGTAGCCCTTAGATCTATATACCAATCATTGGACATCTGTTACCTACCTCAATATCCTGTTATATACTGGAATGATGCTTTCTATGTACTAGAATAGATCATACCATTGTGTAAGTCACCTAATGTCAGGGTAATAATTTGTACCTGGCTAGCTTCTGATGCTGACAATAGCTTTATAACTTACCACATCAATAATAGGTGACAGAATGGGACTTAGTGTGGTCTGTATACATACTGTTTAAATGATTGAGGCTGGATGGAGCATAAATACTTACCCTCAGCTATACTAAACCTGGTGTACAATAAGGACATTATCTTGTGGACTGACATGGTACATTGTGGACTGACATGGTACCTCGTATGTGTAGATTGACCAGTCCTTTGGTGAGGATTATTGTTTATGACCTGAAGATCGAAAGAGAAGCTAGATACAACCAATTGTCCTAGAAGAACCTCAGAATAATATATTTTAGAATCTGAGATGTCTTCAAATGCCAAATGAATAACTGGTGGATGTTGTAATAAGTATATCTAAGGACATGTTTAAGAAGACCAACCGTCACATGATGCGAGTTGTTCAGAATCTGTGTGCCCAGTGTATGGAGGACACTACTGTCAGCCCAACATGTATGTGCAATTAATGAATTTCTTTTATTTGGAAGAAATAACGTCATTTGCCAGGGAAACCCTCGGATTCTTCAACTAATTTATATAGTTCTTTCTACTTTCATTCAGCAATCCTTTTCTCCTCCTTCTGATGATATTGCTGTCCATCAAGTTTGCCTGCTTTCTGCTTTAACCCATTCACCCCTAAATTCACATTTGAAACCTACCAAATCAATGACTGGACTTGATTGATTGATAGGTTTTACCTCCGCTTCACTACTTCACTACCAAGTTCGGTTATCCAGCAGACTAATGATTGGACAAGTCCAGTTAAGATATATAGGGGTGAATGAGTTAACCCTTTGACCCCTATGTAGCTTTGGTAGGCTCTACCCTGCATTGATTTGGATGAGTCCATTATGGTCTACAGTGGTGAAAGGGTTAATGGACAGAAGACATGGGTCTATACCTTCACTCTCCACTGTACAGCAGTGTATATACGCTACACCTCTACTTTAGACAGCGCCCATGTTGTTGAATTTGAGTATTCATTGGTCTAATGAACTAGTCCTTGGCCAGTCTAGGTATCTGTCTCTGTTTGATAATCTAAAGTAGGTGCTCATGTCCAGTTCTCCTATATTTTATCTCAGCAAAATCTTGGAGAAAGTTTAGTTTCCTGAAAAAAGTTCAACCTTTTAGGTGTGGTATTCTTGAGGAAGTTTCATTATTCTAGACTTGGTACACAGTACCATGGGTAAAGTCTATTTTAACTCATTCACCTCGAAAGTGTCATATTGAAATATTCCAACATTTGAATTGGGAAGAGTTCAAATGTGTCTTCAGGGGTGAATGAGTTGAGCACGGTAGCCTATGATCATGGTTCAGCCTGTTAGTCTTTGTGTCCTGTACTGGTGGGCCTTAATTGCTACATGTAGGCTTTGTTCACTAGGGAGGTTACATCTGCTAAATTGGTTTCCTGAGAAAGGTTCAGTCTGCTTCGTTGTTCCTATGCAGTATGTACACATTTAAAGAAACATATCTTAAGTTGGACCATATTGCTGTGAGCCACACATTCTTCAAATAAGCCTTGTTGGCATATGTAAGAGAAAATGCTGAACATTAAAAATGAAATTATAGTAACGAATAATTCTGGATGATTAGGTTGTGTGGGGATTCTCACAGTGGGGGGGGGGGGACAGATGTCAGTAGGTGCTCTTTAGTGATCACCGTGTCTGTCTGTCCATCTGTCCACACTTTGGTTTCTGGAGATTATCTCGGAATCCAAAAGACTGATCTTTCTGAAGATTTGACAAATTGATACATTGCGATATGCAGATGTGCAAAAAAGGTTAAAAAAGTTCTAAGGGAAAAATAGACTGGGTATGGTCAGGTACATGGCAGGGCCTTGCTGATCTGTGATTGTTTACCGACAGCTGATTATCTGTTGACATTTCCAAACTTGTTGACAGTTCATCATTGATATTTCTATATTTTTTGGCAGTTTTTTGTTGACATTTAAATAACTAAATTGTTGACAGTTTTCTGTTTGTTTACTTTTGCTAGCTAACATTCTTTGAGCTGTAGATATTTCTGTTTGTTGATGTTTTGTATCTTGGTGTTGTTCTACTGTATTCGTGTTTGTTGAAGTATCTCTGTTAATGTTTACCAGGTTATTGATGTTTTTATTCTGTCCTTACAGATTGCCAGTTTACGTGTCACCAGACGTGTGGACCTCTAGTGCGACTTGGATGCAAAGCATCACCTGTTGATGAGGGACTGCCCCCTGACCCGGTCTCCGCAGAAACCTCTCTCACAGACCCGCCTGACCAACAGACCACAGCTGATGCAGGGTCAGAGGCCACTAATGTAAGTTTCTAAAGCCTGAGTTTGTTACATAAATTTGATGATACTACAAATTGTAATTTGTGTACATTATCTCCCTTGAGTATTAGATCATTCAGAGTAGCCAAGTGTTATCAATCTATTAGCATGTTAAATTTTCTAAAATGTTGTTTATTACTTATCAAAAGTTGGTTCTTTTCTGTCCAAAGGGTTTCCCATTGGAACAATATCTCTGGTTAGCCTTATTGTCAGAATGAATTAACTGGGTGGGGTGCCATACAGCCAGGTCTAGGTTATGACATTACAGTGAGATTGCATTTTAAAAGTGACTCTTAAAGTGGTCCCATCTATCATGAGGTTTGTGTCACAGTGTTTGTCCTTGATGCTTCACATAAAATTAAGGAAAGAAGTTTGGGTTGGTGTATCTCATTTAACTTCATTCACTGATATAACTCTTTTTAGGAGAAAGATGAAACGGACAGTGGATACAGGTCAGGCACAATACCTGATGAAAAGTTGCCACGGAAACCAAGTCAGGCGACACTTAACAGAGAGGAACTCAGGCGCAAGATTGAGGAGTACAACAGTGTATTTCCTGCTGCCAATGTGATACTTGTAAGTAGTTCGTTTGGTAACTGTAAACATTTAGTGTAGTATCAAACTACCTGGTACGTTACATTTAACTTGTTTATTGTTAGCAATAGGATAAGGTAAAAATACAAGTTTAATGTTGTTATCCATTTTCAGAAGGAAGAGACAGTTGAATCATTCCAGGGATTTATCAAAGTTGTGTTGAATCTCCACCGACCAATATGTATGTCTCTTGGTGCCCGTCCTCCGTCCATCTATGAAATGCTCACCAAAGAACACATCGTGGAGCAAAACACAATGACTGTGTCCTTCTACATGCCACGCGACACATGCAAGTCCATCCACATCACCAGGTAAGCTAATCACAGAATTCCTTTACGTGCCACGCGACACATGCAAGTCCATCCACATCACCAGGTAAGCTAATCACAGAATTTCTTTACGTGCCACGCGGCACATGCAAGTCCATCCACATCACCAGGTAAGCTAATCACAGAATTCCTCTACATGCCATGCGACACATGCAAGTCTATCCACATCACCAGGTAAGCTAATAACAGAATTCCTTTATGTGTCATGGGACACATGCAAATCTGTCACAAACACTTGACTTACCTGGAATAAGGTTTAACAATCCTGAAATACTACGAATACGTGATCAGCCTGCATTATTTTAAAAGCTAGACTGACCTTGGTTGTTAGAAATGCTTGACAGATCAGGAATATCACAAATGTATAACAGATCTGAAAAGTTATGTGAAGAGCCTGCGATAGACCTAGAATGTCACGAATGCATGACAGAGCTGGAATGATTCAAAAACAAAACTGACCTGGAATGTCAAGTGCTTTGATGTTTAGCTTTAGTGAATTACTCGTGATTGAAATGCAAACCATATCCTCATCCCCTTGCTATCTTACTGAAGTGCCCCTGATAGAAAAATAAACCCATATATCCACGTGGTGTTGCTATCTTATCCAGATTTTCATCAGGAGAGACCCTGTATATATGTATACAGTATTACCTAGGGATATGAGGCCCTGTATATGTATACATCATTACCATGGGATGTTAGACCCTGTATATGTATACAATATTACCTTGGATCTTAAGCCCTGTATATGTATACAGTGGTACCTGGGAATTGTAGGCCCTGTATATGTATACATCATTACCATGGGATGTTAGACCCTGTATATGCATGTATACAATATTACCTAGGATCTTAAGCCCTGTATATGTATACAGTGGTACAAAAATGTACCTGGGAATTGTTGGCCCTGTATATGTATACATCATTACCATGGGGTGTTAGACCCTTTATTTGTATACAGTATTACCTAGGATCTTAAGCACATGTATATGTATACAGTGTTACCTGGGGATTGTAGGCCCTGTATATGTGTACAGTGTTACCTGGGAATTGTAGGCCCTGTATATGTATACAGTATTACCTGGGAATCTTCGGCTATGTATACAGTGTTACCTGGGAATTGTAGGCCTTGTATATGTATACAGTGTTACCTGTGGATTGTAGGCTCTGTATATGTATACAGTGTTACCTGGGTATTGTAGGCCCTGTATATTATACAGTATTACTTGGGGATCTTTGGTCTGCAGTCAATGAAAGGGATTCTCATGGTGTAGGGATTCAATGTTTAATATACCTATACCTGGCAGGTGTTTTCTTGGTTGGTGTATATTTGAACTGGCTAGTTTACACCTGTTGGTGTATACTTGAATTGGCTAGTTACACCTGTTGGTGTACACTTGAATTGGCCAGTTTATACCTATTGGTGTACACTTGAATTGGCTAGTTTATACCTGTTGGTGTATACTTGAATTGGCTAAGTTTCACTTGCTTGGTAGTTGGTGTGGTGTGTTTGTGGTAGGTGGTGTGTATGTGGTTGGTGGTGTGTATGTGGTAGGTGGTTTGTAGGTGGTAGGTGGTGTGTATGTGGTAGGTAGTGTGTAGGTGGTAGGTGGTGTGTAAGGGTATGTGGTTGGTGGTGTGTATGTGGTAGGTGGTGTGTATGTGGTAGGTAGTGTGTATGTGGTAGGTGGTGTGTATGTGGTAGGTGGTGTGTATGTGGTAGGTGGTGTGTATGTGGTAGGTAGTGTGTATGTGGTTGGTGGTGTGTATGTGGTAGGTGGTGTGTATGTGGTAGGTAGTGTGTAGGTGGTAGGTGGTGTATAGGTGGTAGGTGGTTAGTATGTGGTAGATAGTGTGTAGGTGGTAGGTGGTGTGTATGTGGTAGGTAGTGTGTATGTGGTAGGTGGTGTGTATGTGGTATGTGGTAGATGGTGTGTATGTGGTAGGTGGTGTGTATGTTGAAGGTGGTGTGTATGTGGTAGGTGGTTTGTAGGTGGTAGGTGGGGTGTATGTGGTAGGTGGTGTTTATGTGGTAGGTGGTGTGTATGTGGTTGGTGGTTTGTATGTAGTAGGTGGTGTGTATGTGGTAGGTGGTGTGTATGTTGAAGGTGGTGTGTATGTGGTTGGTGGTGGGTATGTGGTAGGTGGTGTGTATGTGGTAGGTGGTGTGTATGAGGTTGGTGGTGTGTATGTAGTAGGTGGCATGTATGTGGTAGGTGGTTTGTAGGTGGTAGGTGGCGTGTATGTGGTAGGTGGTGTGTATGTGGTAGAGGTGGTAGGTGGTTAGTATGTGGTAGATAGTGTGTAGGTGGTGTGGTGTGTATGTGGTTGGTGGGGTGTATGTGGTAGGTGGTGTGTATGTGGTAGAGGTGGTAGGTGGTTAGTATGTGGTAGATAGTGTGTAGGTGGTAGGCGGTGTGTATGTGGTAGGTAGTGTGTATGTGGTGGGTGGTGTGGTGTGTATGTGGTTGGTGGTGTGTATGTTGTAGGTGGTGTGTATGTTGTAGGTGGTAGGTGGTGTGTATGGTGTAGGTGGCGTGTATGTGGTAGGTGGTGTGTATGTGGTTGGTGGTGTGTATGTAGTAGGTGGTGTGTATGTGGTAGGTGGTGTGTATGTGGTTGGTGGTGTGTATGTGGTAGGTGGCGTTTATTTGGTAGGTGGTGTGTATGTTGTAGGTGGTAGGTGGTGTGGATGGTGTAGGTGGCGTGTATGTGGTAGGTGGGGTGTATGTGGTTGGTGGTGTGTATGTGGTAGGTAGTGTGTAGGGGGTAGGTGGTGTGGTGTGTATGTGGTTGGTGGTGTGTATGTTGTAGGTGGTGTGTATGTTGTAGGTGGTGGGTATGTGGTAGGTGGTGTGTATGTGGTAGGTAGTTTGTATGTTGTAGGTGGTGTGTATGTGGTAGGTGGCGTGTATGTTGTAGGTGGTGTGTATGTGGTGGTGTGTATGGTGGTAGGTAGTTTTATGTGGTTGGTGGTGTGTATGTGGTAGGTAGTGTGTATGTTGTAGGTGGTGTGTATGTGGTAGGTGGCATGTATGTTGTAGGTGGTGTGTATGTGGTGGTGTGTATGTGGTAGGTGGTGTGTATGTAGTAGGTGGTGTGTATGTAGTAGGTAGTGTGTATGTGGTAGGTTGTGTGTATGTGGTAGGTGGTGTGTATGTGGTAGGTGGTGTGTATGAGGTTGGTGGTGTGTATGTAGTAGGTGGCATGTATGTGGTAGGTGGTTTGTAGGTGGTAGGTGGGGTGTATGTGGTAGGGGGTGTGTATGTGGTAGGTAGTGTGTAGGTGGTAGGTGGTGTGTATGTGGTAGGTAGTGTGTATGTGGTTGGTGGTGTGTATGTTGTAGGTGGTTTGTATGTGGTAGGTGGCGTGTATGTGGTAGGTGGCATGTATGTAGTAGGTGGCGTGTATGTGGTAGGTGGTGTGTATGTGGTAGGTGGTGTTTATGAGGTTGGTGGTGTGTATGTAGTAGGTGGTTTGTAGGTGGTAGGTGGTGTGGTGTGTATGTGGTAGGTGGTGTGTATGTTGTAGGTGGTGTGTATGTTGTAGGTGGTGTGTAGGTGGTTGGTGGTGTGTAGGTGGTAGGGGGTTTGTAGGTGGTAGGTGGTGTGTATGTGGTAGGTAGTGTGTAGGTGGTAGGTGGCATGTATGTAGTAGGTAGTGTGTATGTGGTTGGTGGTGTGTATGTGGTAGGTGGTTTGTATGTGGTAGGTGGTGTGTATGTAGTAGGTGGTGTGTATGTGGTAGGTAGATTCTTGGCTACAGTATATGTAGCTACCTCTGTATTTGTGTTGTGTACAAAGAGTAAGCTTTTAACATCAACAGCAGACAAGTTTAGAATTATTTTGTATGTTAGCTATAGACATCATATACAATTATGTAGGTGAATATAAGACATTGTTGAGACTATCCCCTAACAAAGCGTTTTCTGATGCAGTAAAGTTAAAGCTTGGGTGATTCAGAAAGGCATGTATGGTGTATAACGTACCTGTTCCTTTGTCAGCCTCCCTTCCTATCTGTTGGATTAGAAAAGTATACATGTTTCATAGGGTACATCTAGACTGGTAATTTATTCTAACATGTCTCTCTCATTAGGTACTCCGTGTAATCCTTCTTTGTTCATCTCAACATAATGTACCGCTATCTGTTCCTGAATTGACAATTTGCCCAAGTTTTATTTCAGAAGTTAAAAACCGAGATATAAAACATCTTATCTTCGTTAGCATAGGCTCACCTACAGTACAATACAGTTTTCACCACTTTTTCACATTTTATATTTGCTATATTTTGAGGTAAGGAATCCTACTGACAGAAGTATATATATATAACTTATTAAAGCTGTCAATTTTACACATGGACACCTGGATATTGCCCAACATATAACTGGTCTTCCTAGTGTACACTGTCTTGATATCTTCATACTGTCAGGTATTGATCATTCTATTGATAGGTTAAATCTCAAAACAATACTGTGAAATCAATAATTTGCTTCGAGTTTTTAATTTCGTTGACTCTGTTGGTGCTATTAGTTTGCATAAAGCTATTATCAGTATGAGTGGGGTACTATTATCAGTATGAGTGAGGTACTATTATCAGTATGAGTGGGGTACTATTATCAGTATGAGTGGGGTAATATTATCAGTATGAGTGGGGTACTATTATCAGTATGAGTGGGATACTATTATCAGTATGAGTGGGGTACTATTATCAGTATGAGTGGGGTACTATTATCAGTATGAGTGGGTACTATTATCAGTATGAGTGGGGTACTATTTTCAGTATGAGTGGGGTACTATTATCAAATTCATGTACCCACGAAATGGTCTTTTTTTTCGGGAAACCACAAATTTGGACCCCACCAAAATAATTGATTTCACGGTAATTGAGTCTGGTGTACATTGAAGAAAGTTTAAGAACATAAATGATTGTTTTGGTATGGGGAACAAACCATTTTAATTTCAAAATGCATTGTAAATCTGGCTTAAATCGAAACATATTTGCTGACATATGGGTCCAATTATATGGAAAGATGCTTGAATTTTTTATATTATCATATAACATGGCAAATGCATGGAATATTTTGTTAGTTCTACAGTCAGTTTACAACAGAATGATCTCATTTGAAAATATTACTCATATTTTATTTACATAATTCTAAAAAAATGTGATTTAAGCAGGTGTTGATATTTACACGAAAAAGCTAGCCAGATAAACCGGAGTCACAGGTTACTTTTAGATGTAAGATAAATATTATCATTGAGCTCCACATCATGTCTATCCAGGTTACAGTTAACATAACATGTTTAGTAGGGGATGCTAACATGGAGTAAATATTAGGACAAGTTTATGTAGGAGAGATACAGCCTGTAACTGACATGCCGACTTTGGTCACTCATGAAAAAACTTCCTGAAAATATTTACCAAATGTTTTTTTTGCAACTTCCTCAATTGTTATAAGGACTTGGAAGTTTTCAGAGGGAACAATGGTGACTTTCCCCCTGTTTAGTGGTCCCCTGGCCTTACATTTGCTGACTAGACAGATGTTGCTGAAAAATGATTTCAAGTGACAATGGTTTTTTTTTCTGATTTTGTTTTTAGATTGAACTAAACTGGAATTGTCATTAAGTTGGCCTCTGATTTTTCATATTATTAAGAGAAGTGAACCTGACCAAATATTCACTTCTGACCCTAGTACTGAAGTGACCTTTGCCATTTTAACCCCTAACCTCTTGACAACTAGTGCTTATTACAGAGGGCTACTCCTATACATGTGTTTTAAGGGGCCAGATAAGGTTACCATGGTGATCTAGCAGCAGGGTCTCTGAGGGAAGGAATTATCTAAAACATGCACACAGCTATTAGTGCTTTCTTCACCAAACCTGAAGAACTAGCAATATTTTATTGAAAACATGCATGTAGCCATACCATGTTGTGAGGATCCACTCCCAGGCCTGCGCTGTAACTTTGGTCAGGGTCAGTGGTGGGCTTTAATGTTGCATTAGGGTTGTAAAAGCAGATGTGATTGAGGTAAACAGATGGTGAAGTTGGATGTGAGCTCTACCTTTCTAAACACAACAATTTGTAATGGGAAAACATTCAGGGAAACATTCTCAGTCTGGTGGCATTCACAAGGTTTCTGAAAATACATTTTACTGTGATTTACTTCAATCACATATTTTCATACAAGTAATATAAAATATACACAGTTATGTCCCCTGGTTTATCAAACTCTATTACAAATTATATTTCATCATGTATGTCTGTAGCAAACTGATTTCTTAGGAATTCAACCTCCTCAAACAGAAACATACCTTTGAAAATATCATAAAAATGTACTCCCTTACTTTCACGTGTTAATGTTCAAACTTTCTATGGTATTTTCAAAGGTATGTTTTCCTTTAGGAAACTTTTCAAAGTTATGGTTTACAAATACTCCTGTTGGCCATAATTGAATCAATGAGTAACTTTCTATGATAATTTCTTAGGTCCCTGTATTTTATTATATACATTGCTTTACTGTATAAGCTAATTGTTATGTACACAGGCCTGTGTGTATTATTTTGGTGAAGCGTATTACAGCATGATGTATTATATTTTTTCAGTGATATAACAGCTACTGCTGTCATTTCGATGTTACTGAAGAAGTTCCACATCCTTGATCATCCCAGGAAGTTTGCCTTGTATGAACAGGAACACAGCCCCAAGGGTAAAATAGGTAAGGGGAAGCACTTAAAATCAGTACAAATGAAAGTGAAAGTTAAAATAGAATGCCTGTCTGTTTGTCTGTCTCTATCTTGTCTGTCTGTTTGTCTGTCTCTATCTTGCCCGTCTGTTTGTCTGTCTTTATCTTGTCTGTATGTTTGTCTGTCTGTTTGTCTGTCTCTATCTTGTCTGTCTGTTTGTCTGTCTCTATCTTGTCTGTATGTTTGTCTGTCTCTATCTTGCCCGTCTGTTTGTCTGTCTTGATCTTGTCTGTATGTTTGTCTGTCTCTATCTTGCCCGTCTGTTTGTCTGTCTCTATCTTGCCTGCCTGTTTGTCTGTCTCTATCTTGCCTGCCTGTTTGTCTGTCTCTATCTTGACTGTCTGTTTGTCTGTCACTATCTTGTCTGTCTTTTTGTCGGTCTCTATTTTGCCTGTCTGTTTGTCTGTCTCTATCTTGTCTGTCTGTTTGTCTGTATAAGTTAACTACTTCTCATAACGTACTGCAAAGATTTCCATAACACTTTGTGCAGTCACCTGCAAACCAGGTTGCTGATTATAACATTGGATTTTTCATTTCAACTCTTTTCTTGCAGAGTTATGCCCCTTTTCCTGAAAAATATCAATACTACTTCACTAAAGGACTGCATAGATTTTAATGAAACTTAATATGTTGTATTATAAAAGAAAATGTAAATGTTAACTACACAGTGTATTTTTCATAGTTTATTCTGTCCAAAAGGTAGCCCTTAGGGAATGCAGGAGTATAAACCTGCTGCTTACTGTCCTAATTGGTATTGGTTTACAGCGACTAGATTGTTATTGGTTTACAGCGACTAGATTGTTATTGGTTTACAGCGACTAGATTGTTATTGGTTTACAGCGACTAGATTGTTATTGGTTTACTGTCCTTCATGTTACAGTGAAGCTGCGGAGACTGCCTGGCAATGAGACCCTTTTGTCAACATGTGTCCACTGGGAGAAGGATCGACTCCGGTGTACAAGGCTGGTCCTACAGGAGAACGAAACGGGAGAAATTGTGGTAAGTCACAAACAGTCCGAACTGTGGTAGTCAATTGGTAGAGGGTGGTAAGTATGATTGGGACAGGTGAGCTTATGGTAAGAAAATGGGAGAAATAGGAGACATGAGGTTAATCAGGGAGAATGGTGGGTAATATGAAGGGCAAGTGATGAGACCATGGTTATTATGGATAACAGACTAGGAGAGTCAAGATACTGTACAAAGACTGCATACTAGGGTGAGGGACAAGTTATATGGAATCAGGATTTGGTGGCAAGAAAATATGTGAGCTTGTGGTAACTATGGGAGTAGGAAATATTGTGGTAAATTAATAAAAAAATGTAATTGTATCAGGTGACAGGTGATATCAAGGTAAATATGAACTGAATACCTGCTCAGATATAGGGTATTTGAGGGGTAGGGAATGTAGATGATAGGATTGTCTTTACATTGTGGTGAGAAAAGGAGGACTTGAGGATATCAAGTTGAGGTTGTGGCTGATTTGGTTCAGGGCGTCATTTATATTGTGGTGAATTAATGTCTTTTTCATTATTATATACTACTACTGCAAGGGGTTCTGGAGTGTCATTGAGATTGTGGTAACATTATCATACACTATTACTACTACTACAAGTTTGTAACAGAACTAGTACTGCTATGTCATGGATGTCCTGTTCAGTGTAGGTTTTATCTTGTCCTGGGTGTGAAAGTTACCAGCGTAGGGAGGATAAGTGTGCAGTGTTATGACTCCTATACACCTGGTTTTTATCAGGTCCTGCCAAACCACACAGACCTGCTACTGAACAACGAAGCTTACACTTACCAATACACCAGCCATACCAGCCTCTTATTGCTTCGTAATGGTACTGGGTCAGTTGTTGGTGAACTTACAGGACAGACATCTGTCTTATCTCCCTATAATGAGTTGAGCAAAGGTCACATAAAGGTCATTGTCTAGAACATGAAGGAGCTCATTATCGGTAGATATTTTACTCCATAAAACACATTTATAATTGACCTTTTGTAGCGTGTTTGCTGCGAGTTCTTGTCATGCAAATCTGAAAAAATATGGAAAATTTTCTTTTAATGTTGAAAATATATTTTAATTAAATCTGAAAATTCGTAACTGAAAGGTCAGGCCTAACAAAGAGTGATGTCATAACTGAATGGATTTACGATAAAAGCGTTAGATAATTGTACGCCTGTTGTATTTATTTTCCTGTAAGGTGGTATAGGTGTAAGATTATAGGGAGGTACAGGTTCATCACAGACTCGCAGACTAACTCAGTTTACCGTTACATAATGGCGATGTAAATCTTGTTTGATCTAAAAATGATCAGATCCTGTTTAATTACACGAGTGCTTTATACGATACATGAGCATTGGTTTATGCATAGTATGGCGCCATTTTCCTGTCAGCAGGGAAAAGGGTGGGTGGGGAGGTGATTGAGGAAAGTTATCCGAGATGGTACACATTTCTTTAGCATCATTGAAGCATTCATAAGATAGGTCACATGGAGATAGCACCTGTTTTTTTATTCAGTCAATCTGATCGTTCTGTTGAAGGCATTAGAACCCTGTTGTGTCGGTAAATTAAGATTTCATGTGTGGCATACTATTGTCGGTTACAAACTTTTGTCAGGCATGGTCAGATAATTCAATGTTGTGTGTTTTCGTGAAGTATTTTTATAGAAAAATAGTTTTATATTGCTACAATCAGGTTAATTAAAAAAAAAAATCACATGATTCAATATTGTCCAGTAAACTAATACCATTCCATTGTTTTGTTGAGATTTTATCTCAGTGAATTTTACGAGTTAGTTGTGTAAGTGAGGCCAGGGAATCACTATTCATTGTACATCTTACTTTGGTTATTGAGCTGCAACGATTTAAAGTTGGTCACGGTTATTTAGGAACCACTCTTTTTCCACTATGATAGTGTACTATTATATACAGCACTGTGTAAGAATCTGGAACTGTTCCTGTGTATATACAAAGCCCATTACTCTTCCTGTCTCCCTCCATGGGGGATATATTTTTGTAGGGGAGGGGCCACGGTTGTAGTTATAGCTACAAACAGCATGCCTTCCCAAACAGTTATCATTGTCTTTATCTGTCTATGAAGTGATGAGAAATTGAATAGCATCAAAACCATAATTACCAGTAGGAATGAAGGGTTTTTGGCACAGGGCACTGGGGCTGTCGACATACTTTGATGTGTTTGATAGAAGTGGTTGCCAGTTCTCTAAGGTACAGCCCTTTTCGTATCTCCCACTATGGATCGAAGTGATGAGTCCACACTCGGGTCTAATTTTTTGCCTATGTTGCGAGTTAGGAGCTGTAAGATAGGAGGTTCCGACCTAGAAGCTGTAAAAGTAATACCAATTTTACATTTATCAGAATCTTTCTACAGTCAAAGAACAGGTTTCTAGACACTGATGTATTGGGACTTGGAAATTTTCTTATGTGTGGGTTTACCAGTATAATCTCTCTAACAAATTTCCAAAACCTGAATAGCATGTTTAATTTACTAGTACATGTACTTGAACACGAATCTGTAAGTTAAGTAACACTTATAAAGGGAAGTGTGTGAGGGGGAAGGGCAATTTTAGATACATTTTCAAAAATGAGAAACAGGGTAACAACCAACAATAATTTGATAACTTTAGCCTAAGAAGCACGGTGTTGGCAGTGAAAAAGGAATCCAGTTAATTAAAAGAATTGGTTTCGGTGTTCTGTAAAATAAGTTTATAATGAAGCCCAGGGGATGCTATTATAAAAAGGTTATTTTAGGTGTAAATTTTCAATCATTCGATTAGTTTCCTTGCAGTGTCACAGATTATGTCAGAGGCAATTTAGGAGGAAATTCACAATGTTGGAGTAGATAACATTTGTTGTTAGTGTAGTTTTTGTACACGTGAGTCACTCAGGGTACATGTTTTGAACTAAGTCTGGTGTAAATAAACAGAGTAATCTATGTGTATGTGATTTGGAGATATATAGTGGTTAATTGTGTGATTTGGGGAGAGATGGTGGTTTACCATCCCCAGTGTAGGGTGTGTAGGGTGCAATGGTTTTAACAGGCTCAGAGTATTATACAAGGGACCTAAACAGATCTCTATCTCTCAAACAAACACAGAAAGTCTGGTGGTCTTACACTAGCTGATGTTGATACACTGCCATGTATACAAGGTTAATTACTGTAGTTTTCATTTATATAGCCAGTAGATATATTAATTTTAAGAAAAAATGCGTTGTCAGCCGTTTTTTGTGACAATGTATTGTTGAATTGTACTTAGATATTCATGGAATGTAGTAACAGGCAATTAGAGCAGCTTCTGTGACCTAATATATGTTAATTACATTTATGAAGTCTAGGTGATAATTTAGAATACAAGTGACTGTCCTTAAGTGTATATGTAGGTAAGAGTTTGGAATTTATTTTAAATCAAAATTATGTATCATTTGAATGCTTTTGAAAATTTTATGATATGGTAATGCCTACCAAATATCTGGAATTTAAAAAATGAAGACTTGTATTGTTTATTTTCTCAACCAGCGTAATGTTTGGAAAGCTATAAGACCCTGGAACACTAGACTTCAACAGATGGTGTTAAGATTAGTTTGGAGGCTCTGTCCTCCTCCTTCTCTCTCTCTCTCCCCCCCTCCCTTTCTCACTCCTCAAGTCTAAACAAACAAACATAAACACAGTAGGATAATGAAATCTGTACCACAAGGCTATAGTTGTTATCACTGATGCCCAGAATATATCTCCTTCAGTTTGTATGATGGAATGGTATGTACCGTCTATTTGTACACACTGATTTTCAGGCTTAGAATGGGATTTAAGATAAAGGATGATTTAGTGTTTGGTGTTTAGGCCCGCAGAATATAAATATTCTGGGCAGCTCTTTGACAGGGATGTATCAGTTTTAATTATGCTGTTATTTACTACACAAGTCAATGTTTTGTGCAGATAACAGTAAAAAAAAATATTGTATGCTTTCAGTATGTTTCTTATAAATATCCAACACATTCATATTCCACCAACTGAAATAAAAATATTCTGAATATTAAGAACAGCTGCTCAGGCTACTTCAAAACCTTAGAAAATGGGTAAAATGACAAGGGGTACTTTTATTGTTTTAATGTTGCCACTTATGATAATACACGGGAATGTTTACATATAACATTGTATGATATCAATATCAGAGCATACAATATATACACATGTACATGTATATCAAAAACACAGTTATAAAGATTTATCAAAACCAATGGAAAATGGCATTTTCAACTCAAATATTTTCAGTACCTATACCTACCACATTTTACAATCTGGGATCAGGTTTAGGAGAACGCACGTCTTATCAATATTGGCCTGATGGATGAAAGTCAAAGTCTTACATCCTATTGTGACTATAGTTTCGATGTATTTGCAGTGGGAGAATTTCATTAAGTATATTGTTTGATGTATTTTTTTACTGAGAAAATGTAATTTCCATGGGAGAACTGAGTAAGCTAACAATGCATTTTCAGTGGGAGAACTTCAGTAAGCTAACAATGCATTTTCAGTGGGAGAACTTCAGTAAGCTAACAATGTAACAATGTATTTTGTGTATTTTCAGTGGGAGAACTTCAGTAAACCAGAGCTAGAGAACTTCTTAATAGTACTGGACAGAGAGGAAAACGAGTATATCTCACAGCTTCAGTACAAATACTGTGTCATGAAGAAAATCATCCATCAACGCTTCAAGGAGCTACGCAAGGAACGCAGGAAGTCCGCCTTGCTGGAGAAACAAGCAAGCCTTCAGTCCTGATCATCTGGGACTTTCCTGGGAGTCATAAAGAAATGAAGTTTTTATCATGATGTTACTAGATATAACATGTGGTCAAGATTAGTGGAGAATTAGGTGATTTCCAGGATTTTCTGAGCTAAATCTTTGTTCTGTGATGGTTGTGCGAACATTTATCATGGTGCTGTGGTGATTGAGCTGGCCGGGCGACCAATCGCGAGACCTCATGGACTTTTGCTGGGACATATCCAGAGTGACATGTAGACTAAAGGACTGGTGATACTATTGTCCTCTGTGGATTATATATAATGAGGTCTCCGGTAGCATTGGATACTCGCCCACTTGTGAGCTCCGGCTTCCTCCGGTAGAGGCTTAACTTGACGCTCACTTCACGGAAATATCCGCAAGACAGGTGACTTGGACGTTCTGATGTGGCTCAGACGCAGGATGTCTTTGAGACACGTAACTGTCTTACTCTGTATAGACTCTGCAGTCTTAATGATAGACATGTCTTAAGATATGCAATGCTGTCTAACAAAATATGGACATATCTTGAAGATACGATTGTCTTATGACTAATATATATGGGACTAGTCTTAATCAAGGTGTCAATGGTCGGCAGGAAAGACAACAGTATCATAACAGTGCACAAGGCTTGTGTTAAAATATCTTGCTTGCAGAATGTGATGATAAGGAATTTGTCATAACTGTGAGGTTTCAACAATGTCTGGTTGAAACTCCCAATGTTGTCACTTCGCGCTGAGACACATGTGTCGTTACAAAGACAAATAACAGTTGTCGTCACCGAGACATGTTAGGGAGACACATCTAGACATAGGTTGTTGTCACAGTAACACACTTGTTGTCAAAGATACTGTCATCATTACCAAGACTCACAAGTTGTCACTGAAACAACTTCGATCATTGTCGTCTGTCTTTGCTCTAACATGTAGGTGTCACTGAGACTGTTGTCATAACTACGACACTTTTGTTCTCCGTAAGACACTTTATTGTTGTCACTAAGACACTTGTCAAGACCATAAATATGATACAAAAGTAGACAATCCCATTATGCATGTGGTATGACCATTTTTTTCCATCCCAACACTTTATGCCTTAATCAGGGTTACTCATGCTCTTGTAAGAACTGTTGTAGTATGTGATGTTGAAGAAACACCCTGTTGATGATGAGATGTTGGCCTGTAGTGTGTCCTTATAAGTACTATTATAGTATTTGGTACTTAACATTTGTACATACTAATCTAGTCTAGTACAAACATATATAGGACTGAGGTTTTGATGGGTACGATAAGTGTATCAGTGTTCATTGACTTTGTCTCAATAATTATACAATGTGAGCTCACGTTGAGGCTACATGGAGGGTATTTACGACACCAACCTATATCTTGGGTATATTATAAAATGTGAGCTCACGTTGAGGCTACATGGAGGGTATTTACGACACCAACCTAAATCTTGGGTATTTTATACAATGTGAGCTTACGTTGAGGCTACATGGAGGGTATTTACGACACCAACCTATATCTTGGGTATATTATGTGTTCGTTATGGGAATCTTTTAGGACTGCAATGTTCTCTTTAATTATTTGGTAATTACATATGCAGTATGTATCAAATTATTGTATAAGGATCTGCAGCTTTACAAACTAGTCATTTACTTAAACATTTCATAACATATTGGGTTTAAGATATCATGTGAATTAAAAAATATTAGGGAAGACAAAAGAATATCATAATGTGGAATTTGTAAAAAAAAAAATGTAATTAATATAAGTGCATGTTTTGTTGTTGGGATGTGCAGCTTATAACGCTGGGACATTGTCCATGTATATATACTGATACCAGGACTGTCAAACATCAGCTGTTGTTGTACTACAGGTGTTCCAAGCTACCTGTCCATACATCTTATACATGTTATATGTATACCGATGAGAAATCAAACCCTACTCCACCCTACCCCTTCCTGATCTTCCCCTAGCTATCATCCTGTCTCTCACATCTCATCTCCACATCACACTTCCTTACCTCGTGCCCTCTATGTCAAACGGGACCTGAACAGTGTGTGCGGTGTTATCTCCCAAGTAACTTCCCCAGTAAGAAAATTGAACTTTTTATCTCCAGATGTGATCGGCTTTATGTGGAAAGGAAGTTTATAAACTGTAATTGTAGCATCCTGTCCAAAATAGACAGTTTTATCACTATCCTCATTCTAAAACATTATACAAATCTATTGACCACTTATGTGGATCTGGGAGAAAAAACACACTCGTTTAATAACTGGAAATCTATAAGAAAGCTCCTCATAAAATGGGACTCCTTCCAGTTTGTGTGGACCATGTATAACATCTTATCTGTAGAAAAATGGAGGACAGTGTTGTTGGACCATATATTTAAAGAGTGGGGGGAATGATGATCGCAATTAAATATTGGTCACCTGTTTGTTCAGGTGCTGTCAATTAACGATATTAATTCAAATATTAATTCAAATATTAATTCAAATCGCTACAAAGTAACATTCCTGTGGTTTGTATCAGTAAATCGTCAAGGATATCAGTAAGCATACCAAGGTTCTAGTGTTCACAATTTATATTTGAGAGCCAAAACAGTTCCCATGTGTTTATATATATAATTGATATTATACATGTAGGTAGTTATACAGTGTTGGCATACTATCACCCTAAGATGTTTTATACTGTAACTGAAATGATTTGACAAGAACAACTGAATGCAGTGTCTGTGAGCTGGTTTTAGAACATATACTGGGTATTATATAGATAGCAGACCCCATATTCTGATAAAACCTGTTAATCATGAGGACTAACTGTGGAAATCTTGTCCAAATCTTGAATTCTCATGAGTTCAGAAAATGGGGCTCCAAAGGGGAAATTCAAATCAAACATTCAGAAGATTTTATCATATCATATATGTATATTATATGAATTGTATCATACAAGATATTTATCATAAACATACTGTATCAATATAGTAACTGATTCCATATTATAGTAAGTGTATAATTTTTTTTTACACAGATTGTTGATATTTATTTCCAAAGAGTTTCCAGTCAGTATTGAAGTATTTGTCCATAATCAGTCAGTCTGTAGTTCCTGATATGATAAAAGGTTTTCTCTTGGTTTATCCATAACTTTGCATTATCAATTATAAGAATAGGTTTCCTCTTGGTTTTTCCTTAACTATATATATATACATGTGCTGGCCTCTAGCTGTTCTTAATATCTTCTTGCGGTTCAATGTCTATGCTGGAAAATAATTCAGCGAAGCTTCCAAGCTCTTATCTACTATCATTTTATGGTTCATGGCAAATCAGTTTCATGACTTCATACAAATTAAAGGTCAAGGTCATATAAACATGAAAAATACACAAGAAACATTATATGCATTAGATTTGCCAGATACTAAATTCTAGGTCACTTAAATAATCATCTGTCAAAATAGTACTTCTTTGATATCTCACAATTTTTCGTGAAGATATGTTGTAATGTCCTATATTTTCATCATCCTGCCACATGGTGGCTGTGTCATTTCCATAGCTTCAGCACTGGTTGGGGATATGTATTGTTATTTATAAACATAATGATAATCAGTTATCTTCATCAGTCATTCCAATTTTCCTTGGAGCCCCATTTTCATCTGAACGAGTTCTTGAATTCTGAATCAGATGACAAATTGCAAACTGTCTCACAATTGTGTTCATTCTTTTAAATGAGGGTAGTTCAGTATATATATATGATATCACTGCCAATCGTTCTGTTTAAGGATAGTAATCAAATATGTATTAGATCTGTATTTAAAGTTATAAATTCTTTAATCTCATTTTCAATACTAAACGTGCACCATTACGTTAAGGTAGCAATCAAGCATCTATCGAGTGCCTCGGCACTTTGGTCTACCATTGTCATGTCCTCATCAAGCCAGTAAGATATTCTGTACCAGCCGACAGTGAAGTCCGATTTGGTAGAGGAGGGTTTCTCTCTGTTGGTGAATGTTTGTATCATTTTAGATATATTTTAATACTGGTACTGATTAACGGCTTCGCTCTCTGAATCTCGCCCTGGTATATTTGTGTACAATTCACAAAAGAACCTTGGTGATCTGGTAAATTTGGTTTACAGTCTATGAAAGACTATAAAACACTTTCCCCGAGTCCAGGAGACTGGTTTGCTGGATTACATACATAGTCCAGGTTACCAAGGTCTTCCTGTATAAAACGACTACGGATGTCTGCAGTATCCAAACTACCGACATTCTCCTGTATAAAACGACTGATTACCAAATCCAAAGTACCAAGTTCTCCTGTTTAAACAAGATTACATTCAATCTTGACAGGGTTTTGTTAACTATATTGTACAGTATGTCATTACCAGTCCTGTAGTGTAACAGGAGTGATATATGATATTGACATGTGTCGTCATCCCGTTGTCATCCCGTTCATTTCCATATATGATATTACACTGTGTTGAAGCCTGGAGCTTACAACTATAAAACATGGTTCCCAATAGTTGTTCATATTATTGACACTGGGTTTTGTATGTGCAGTGAAACAATTCTATAAAATAATCTTACTAATGTCTTTGTTAGCAACAGTCTGCATGATGAGGTTATGACCAAATGGTCTTTAACCCATTCACCCCTAAAGTCACGTTAGAACCTTACCAAATCAAAGACTGGGCAAGTCCAGTTTAAAGATGTAGGGGTGAATGAGTTAATTAGATCTACAGAGGCGGAGATGTTTCTCCTGAGTTTCTTGGACAAGAAACCTACGCTGTATGACATGGTTGTCTTGCCATGTGATGGAGACAGCCATGCTGGGTATAGATAAAGTTATCACTCTCTGGTGTGTGTTCTATACAAATATCACCTACAAATTAAAGGACACGATTTCAGACAAAGCAGGCTTTTTTCTTGTAAGGGTTAAATGATAAAACTTTATAAAAAATATTTCAGTGGTGTTTTTCACATCAACTGTAAATATTTCATACCTTTCCATGGTGTCTGGATATTTTAAGATAATTTGTAATAAAAAAAAATCACAAATTAAATTGTCATGGTGAATGTTTTAATATAAATCATGCTTAATTATGGTGTATAGATCGAGGTATGAGGAAATATTAAAACAAAACAAAAATATTGTAGGTGTGTATTGTGTGTACAAAGCTGTCTGGTTGAGGAAACCACCACTGCGGGATGTGGTGATGAGCAAAAACTGTTATATTTATTTTACTGTACATAACCTACAGCGTATCTATAGATTCACAAAAACGAAGAAATGATATATCTAAAGAGAAATGTTAAAATCTAAAATATTAAACAATGCGAAATTTTATCGAAGTTACTGTTTCCATCCTGCTAGTGCCTTAAATTTGAATTTTGAAATTTGACCTTTGCAAGATGCAAGACGTTGTCCAGAGCTGGTATGTGTATGATCTTGTTCACTTCGTCTGATTCTGTAAATCAGGGGAAGACATTTTAAATGAATCTTGTCACTGTATTTGAATTTTGTTTCACTGAACATGTATAATTTGTTTTATTTTTATCTATAAATTAAATTTAATCAGAAAAGTACAACATTGTTCTTGTTGTTTGTTTAAAATTGAAGTGCATACATTGAACGTGAATATACAATCACACTAAATTATTTGGATGTGATTTGTCTATTAGCTCACCTGCCAAAAGGCCTAAATGAGCTTATGCCACTGTGTGGCGTCCATGCTCTGTCCATCCCGCGTCAACTTTTTACTTTATTGGAATCTACTGATGAATAATCAAGCAGCCTAGGGTGA